TAAAAGATGTTAGAATTATGGAGAAGATACTACGCTCGTTGGACCCTAAGTTCGAGCACATTGTCGTGACAATTGAAGAAACTAAAAACTTGGAAGAAATTAGTATAGAGCAATTAATGGGTTCACTACAAGCATATGAAGAGAAACATAAGAAGAGGCAAAGGAATGATGAGCAGCTCCTCAAGACGCATGTTGAGCCAAAGAAGAAAGAAGAAAGCTTCGATAATGAGAGAAGCCAGTACAAAAGAAGTCATGGTCGAGGACTTGGACATGGACATGGACATGGACGTAGACGTGGTTGGAACTTCAACAACCATAGTAACTACGAAAGAGGAGAAAGCTCAACAAAAGGTCGTGGAAGAGGACGCTCTAACTTGAGGTATGAAAAATCCCAAGTTCAATGCTACAACTATCAATAGTTTAGGCATTATGCTTGGGAATGTAGAGCTTCAAGCAACAGGCTTGATGAGAAGGTCAATTATGTGAAAGAAGAGAAAGAAGATAATGGCGTTGTGCTACTAGCATGCAAGAACAATGATGGAGACCAAGACTATACATGGTACCTTGACACCGGCGCCAGAAACTACATGTGCTGAAGAAAGCATGTTCGTAGAGCTCAATGAATCGGTGAGTGGCAACGTTTCTTTTGGAGACGAATCCAAAATACCCGTAAAAGGAAAAGGTAACATCCTTATTCCCCTAAAAATGGCGATCACCAAGTAATTTCAAATGTCTACTACGTGCCCAATATGAAAAGCAACATTTTAAGTTTGGGTCAACTCTTAGAAAAAGATTATGATATTCACATGAAAAATTATAGCCTTTTTCTTAGAGATGACAAAGGAAGATTAATTTTCAAGGTGAAAATGTTAAAGAATAGGATGTTTCCCATGAACATTCAAAGCGATGTTGTAAAATGTCTCAAGATATGTTACAAAGACATATCCTGGCTTTGGCATTTTCGTTTTGGGCATCTTAATTTTTGGTGACTGGAGTTATTGTCCAAGAAGGAGATGGTGAGAGGCTTACCATGCATCAGCCACCCTGATCAAGTTTGCGAAAGATGTTTACTTGGGAAACAGTTCAGGAAAAGCTTTCCAAAGGAGTCGACCACAAGAGCCCAGAAGCCATTCGAGCTCATTCACACCGATGTGTGCGGTCCAATAAAACCAAGCTCTTTGGGTAAAAATAATTATTTCCTTCTCTTCATTGATGTTTTTTCAAGGAAAACCTGGGTTTATTTCTTGAAGCAGAAATCAGAAGTCTTTGGAGCATTCAAGAAGTTCAAAGCCACTGTAGAAAATGAGAGTGGTAGCAAGATCAAAGCCATGAGATCTGATCGAGGAGGAGAATTCACTTTGAAGGAATTTCAAGATTTTTATGAAGCCAATGGAATTCGTCGACCTTTGACAGTTTCAAGATCCCCTCAACAAAATGGTGCGGCGGAAAGAAAAAAATCGAACTATCCTCGACATGGCTCGAAGCATGCTCAAAAGCAAGAGATTGCCTAAGAAGTTATGGGCAGAAGTTGTAGCATGTGCTGTCTACCTATCCAATAGGTCACCAACAAGAAGTGTGTGGGAAAAGACTCCGCAAAAAGCATGGAGTGGAAGAAAGCCGGGTATCTCTTATCTAAGAGTTTTTGGAAGCATAACCCATGTACATGTACCAAACGAGAGGAAAACCATACTCGACGATAAAAGTGAAAAGTTCATCTTTATCGGCAAGGACTCAAATTCAAAATGCTATAAGCTGTATAATCCAAACAATGGGAAGACGGTGATCAGTCGAGACGTGACGTTCGATGAAGAAGGAGAATGGGATTTTGGCTCTCATGCAGGTGATCTTCACTTCTTTCCTCAGTTTGAGGAAAAGAATGAACAAGGGATGATGGAGCAAGCAAGAGAGGTTCAACAAGAATCCACCACTCCACCTGCTTCACCAACATCAACCAATCATGGCAATTCACCAGCATCAGCATCATCAAGTGGGAGTCTAAATGAAAGAGAAGTACCACGCACGAGAAGTCTACGAGATCTCTATGAGGTAGCTGAAAGACTTGATAATCCTACACTTTTCTGTATCTTTGCTGATTGTGAACCAGTTGACTTCCAAGAAGCAATGCAAGATACTAAGTGGAGGAAAGCAATGGATGAAGAAATTGAACCAATCCAGAAGAATGATACATGGGAACTCGCTATTCTTCCGAAAGGACACAAAGCCATCAGAGTCAAGTGGGTGTACAAGATAAAGAAAAATACCAACGGAGAGGTCAAAATATACAAGGCAAGATTAGTGGCGAATGGCTATAGTCAAAGAGCCGGAATCGACTATGATGAGGTATTTGCACCCGTTGCTCGGTTGGAAACTATACGATTACTAATTTCTTTGGCAGCTCAAAACAAATGGAAGATTCAACAAATGGATATGCAATCCGCTTTCCTAAATGGAGTCCTTGAAGAAGAAGTCTACATTCAGCAACCGTCAGGCTATGAAATCAAAGGGCATGAAGAGAAAGTTTTAAAGCTGAAGAAAGCCCTCTATGGGTTAAAACAAGCGCCACGAGCATGGAATAGTCGCATCGACAAGTACTTCCAAGAAAACAACTTCATCAAGTGCCCTCATGAACATACTCTCTACGTCAAAGTCAAGGATGAAGATATTTTGATTGTGTGCTTATATGTGGATGATCTAATCTTCACCGGAAGTAATCCAAGCATGTATGAAGAGTTCAAGAGAGTGATGACCAAAGAATTCGAGATGACCGACATCGGGATGATGGCATACTACCTAGGCATTGAAGTCAAGCAGAACGAAGAAGGCATTTTCATCTCCCAAGAAAGCTACACAAAGGAGATACTGAAAAAGTTCAAAATGGATGACTGCAAGCCCATAAGCACGCCAGTGGAGTGTGGAGTCAAACTAACCAAGCATGACAAAGGAGAAAACGTAGATCCAACATTTTTCAAAAGTCTAGTTGGAAGCTTGCGCTACTTGACTTGCACAAGACCAGATATTCTCTATGCCATCGGATTAATGAGTCGCTACATGGAGAATCCCACAACTACACACTTGAAGACTGCCAAAAGAATTCTTCGATACCTTAAAGGTACTGTTAACTTTAGCTTGTTATATTCAAGTTCTGATAACTAAAAACTTGTTGGATGTAGCGACAGTGATTGGGCAGGAGATTCGGACGATAGAAAAAGCACTAATGGATTTATGTTCTTCATGGGAGACACTGCATTCACATGGATGTCGAAGAAGCAACCGATTGTCACTCTCTCTACCTGCGAAGCTAAATACGTAGCTGCTACCTCATGTGTCTGTCATGCAACTGGCTGAGAAACTTGCTGAAAGAATTAAGCATGCCACAAGAAGAGCCAACAGAGATCTATGTCGACAACAAGTCTGCAATAGCTCTAGCAAAGAATCCAGTATTCCACGATAGGAGCAAACACATAGATACCCGCTATCATTACATAAGAGAGTGTATTGCAAGAAAGGATGTGCAAGTGGAATACGTGAAGTCTCAAGACCAAGTCGCAGACATCTTCACCAAGCCACTCAAACAAGAAGACTTTGTTAGATTGAGGAAATCAATCGGCGTTACAAGACAAGATTAAGGGGGGATGTTGAAATGTAATCTTGTCTTGGCCGAAGACAATTGATCCGGCCCATACACAAAGAAAGATCCATGCACATGCCATAGAATTCTAGCAAAGTTCAAGTTGGTGGAAGAGTCTAGAAGAATGGTGAGGATTCCACCAACATACAAGATTAATGTAGATAATTCTAGCTTAGGAAGGTAGTGGAATTATCTAGATATCTCTAGCATGATGCTTCCATGCTTCTCCAAGGTTCCATCCATGCCTATAAAAGGAGAAGGCATCCACACCATTTGAAACAACCAAGAGAGCAAGTAGTGAGAAGTGAGAAGAAGCAACAAAGCTTCTAAGAGTGTTTGAGTGTTTCCTCTTGTACTAGTTTGTGAGTGCATAAAAATTTTGTGTAAAAACTAAGTGTTCTTTCTCTCTCTTGCCTATCAATTCCGCTGCGTTACATACTCCTTTGTGAGATAAACAACTCCAAAGTAGTGAAGTCTTTTTAAGCCCCAACACATACGCGTCACGAAAAGACGGCCAACGAAAGTCAACAATCTCACCTTTAGGGCATTTTCGTCAATTCACTTTTAAAATTTATAAAATCGTAAAATTAGTGATGGGTTGTTACATTTCTCGCCTCCATCTAGCACACACCCATTCCTTTCTCCAACCTTTCTACCGATTGTAGCCCAAATCTTTCCTAGCCTGTCTTTCCTACATATATCACACGCCCATCCACATTATTTATTTATTATTTTAAATTATGTTTTATTTTTTTTCAATATTTCAGTAATTAATTAAATAGAGGTTTAAAAGTCTTGTTTTAAAATGATAATTATGTCATTAACATTTTTATTAAATGGTGGGTTGAGAAATAAGACACTAGGATGAGAATATCATTACTCGAGTTTCAATGTGTTTTCAGTTTTAGTGCAGATTAGATTTGTTGTGCTAGAGATGGATGGGAAGTGTGTGCGTATAAGAGGAATAAGGAATGATAAATGATTAACAGAAGCGGCGTGACAAAGGGTTTAGGGTTGAGGGTTTGATATAATAGAATATATTGGCTAGTTTCAAATACTGCCAAAATTCTTAATATATAGAATATCTTAACAGAACTATAGTATATATTGAAGCCGCAATTGCACCCCATTCCAAAATTAATTAGCTAGTTTCATATTGTAAGGAAACCTTAATATTACGAAATTATGATAAAAAAGAATGCCGATTTTGCCAAATTGTATACGACAATGGTTTCCTAACCAGTATGATTTCGTACTAGTTGCGGTTTGGTATCCTTCAAGGATATTAATCAACATTTATAAATAGGCTTAGTCTTCCATCCACAAACCCCCGACCCAAATACAAAAGAACATCAAACGTAGCCGAAACGTCATGGCATGCCTTCACTTACCTGACCTCGTTACGCACAATATCATCCAAATTCTTCCCACCAAAGCTGCCGTCCGTATGAGTTTTCTTTCCAAGCAATGGGAAGGTGTGTGGTGTTCGAGCTCCGTCTTGGATTTCGACGAGGGTGACTATGAGGAAAGCATTGATTGTCGAGACAACCAAGGTGATAAGCATAGGAAGTTCATCAACATCTTGCTAAGATATTTGAGATCTTGTGGGAATGATAAGCAAAAGAAGCTGAAGTTACTTAAACTGAGGCTTCATATGAAGGGCTACTTGTTTAGAGAGGACCCTAGCATCGTTGATAAGTTATTAACTTGTTCGTTAGACAGAAACGTCAAAGAGTTAGATATAAGCCTCCGACTTGATAGATTATTTCAGAGGGATTGGCATGAGAATGAAAACTACTACTGCTTATCTAGAACCACCTTTCTTGATGCAACATCTATAACTACTCTCAATTTGGCGTATGTGAGGATAAAGGACATACGCAGTGCCAACAGTGGACGTCCTATAGATCATATAAGCCGGCTTCTTCCCTCCTTGAAAACAATGTCCCTCAACAATGTTCGCTTTGACAGGCACGCCCTCCGTTCCTTAATTTGGGAGTGCCCTTGTATTGAATACTTGTCATTAACTTCATCTTCTTTCGAAGATGATCAAGAAGACGCACTCTCCATGTTTTATATTTCAAGTTACAGTCTCAAGTTCTTGGAAGTCAAGTACTGCAAGGCTCAAGATATTCAAGTTGACCACACGGTAGATCTCATCTTGAATCTTTTACGTTTGTTTCATCAAAGTTTCTTCCCGTTGAGAGGATATTGTTGACCAATTCCCATAACTTGAAACATATCAATATTCATGCTCATCACCTGAAAAACTTACGCTTAATTGAATCTCATCGTTGTTTGGAGGCCACCATCAATACTCCTAATCTGAATTCTTTATATTTCATTGGTTACTTAACGGCCAAGATTTCCTTGAAAGCTCCAAATTTACGGGAGGCCACCATCTTACTGTTGGACTTCTGGGACATACAATTTCCTATCAAGAAATTGGTGCCGTTGCCGGGGATTGTTTCAAATAATTTGTGTTTTCATATTCTTGGTTAATTATTTTTGTATATATATTTTTTTATTTAGTTGTTGATTTTATTTTATTTTATTTTATTTTTTGTTTCGCAGGTTATAGTTTGTTGATCTTGAGAGCAATTCCATGATGAAGTCTCCAGCAGGAGAGTTGCCCTTATGGGTTTCTTTAGCAGAAAAGGGTTTTTATGGATTTAAACCTACAATTTGTGCCCTTTGCTGTTTGAAGACCCATGATATTTTGCAGTGCCCCGAAAGGGAATGTTTTCCTGAGTTTGTCGAAAAGCATATCAATATGAGAAACAACTCAAAAAGGCATTGGAACAATCCATATTCAGAGTTCTACACTCCAGGTTTGAAAAAACATCTTTATTTTATATGGGGATGTAATCAGCAGTGTTTTGAGCAACCTGATGTGCCACAAGAGCTTTCGGTGGAAAGCAAAATCTCTTTATTGTTGGAATCATCTGAATTGTACATTGAAAGAACCAATCAAGGATTTCAAATCCAAGCCTATGATGAACCAGAGGAGATTGTCGCAGGAACTGGGGAGAAATTTTCTAGCCATTCACGTCCAGGGGAGGAAGCAGCACATGCTGATCCTATAATCCAACCAGAACAAATTGCTACCCAAGTTTATGTGCCACAAGAATTTTTCCCACAAAGTCTACAAGCATGCACGAAAGCTGATGCTTTGGAGGGCAGCACACCTGCACAGCCCACCAAACCTGAGGAACTTCACGATGAGTCGTACAAGAAGGCTGAGATCTATAAGGGAAAGAATAAAGTGCTTAATGGCAGCCCAATCCTTCGTCAAAAAATTCAGCCAATTCAAAGGTTATGGGTATTAAATACAAGGTTTAAGTCAGTTCAGCAAATACACAAGCTTCTATGGGAATGACCCTATTTGATTACAAAAAGTCATTCACACAAAAGGGAGGACATCAAGAACTCAACTACTGAATTTAAATGCACAGTTCAAGTCACTCATTACCTACTATTGCCCTATGATGCTACTAAGAGGTGGTTGACTCTAAAAGAACAAGTGACGTGACCATCAATTCCTTCATCTATGTCTAGCTATAGACATTAACTAAAGAGCTAATTGGGAGGCAACCCAATTTTTCTAACTCTTTTATTTTTATTTTTATTTTTATTCGTTTATCTTGCTTTTATTTCAATTACAAAAATCATAAAAAATAATATAAAAAAATCAGAAAATTGAAAGAGAAAAAAATGAAATTTTAATTCTTATTATTTTGTACTTATCTAATTGGGTTTCTGATTTGTGATTGCAGGTTGCATTCAGATTTGAGTCCGCCATACAATCCACTGAGTTGCTAGCACTCATCTCATCCATTTATTCATTCAGCACACTCATCATCCATTCATCAACATTTATCAAAGTGCAGAAACAGAAACAGTGTTGAAGTTCTGAAGTGCTTACAGTGGGGTTGCTGCAAAGGCCTCTATACTGCTTGGGACTCCTTTCACTCAATCACTCCCTCACATTATATTAACAGTTTTATTACATGCAAGTTTCGGGGTAGACCTAGCAGCACAGAGGTAGGCCGATCATACAAGTGCTTTGCTTAGGCATTCATCAAATGGACGACATGCAAACACAAAAGAAAAATCGCATCAGTGAGACGCATGCATGTTCACAGACAACATCCACAGATCCGTTTGATTTTCAGAGACATCACACCATGAAGAATTTTCATGCAGTACAGGGACTTGGTTTACCTTCGATTTTGTAGACCTGAGTTCTTGCAGCCAACTTTGCTGTTTATACAGCAGTTCCTCGTGTGTGGCACTGCTCCTTACCGTTCCTATTTGGCCTTACTCGGATCCAACACTCACTAGTACATAACAGCATATTTACCACATCAATTCCATCACGGGCATCAACAGCTCGTGGTAGAAACTATTCAATTACCACGGTTACATGTAGATCGTGGTAGATAACATTAATTCACCACGGTCAAATTCTGGCCCGTTGTTAAAAGTAAATAATTTACAACGGTTTTTAATCCCGTGATGAAATATCAAAACCACCACGCGATATACTCGTTATGGTTACTTCAAACAACCACACAGCCTTTTGAAAATTCACCACGGCATCGGCCTGTGGTGGATTTGTTTTTTTTTTTTTTTTAATATTTTGGAGGATAGTATTCCTATACTAAAACCCAAACCAGCTTGCACTGTTTACGGAGAATGCGCGGACGAAAATGCCCTCCGTTTGGTTTTCCATATCAGGCGCTTTTTCTCTTTGTTGCACAGTAACAACCGAATTCTCAGCTGCTCTGCAACGGGTTGGCGATTTCGATCATGCGTCCTACACTCCGCATCGATCTCTTCCATCGCTGCTTCGTGATCCTTTCGATCCCTGCTTCCTTATCTTTTCGATCTCTGCTTTACGATCTTCTCGCCCCCTCATCCTGTACCCAATTTCTTTAGCCTTCAAGAGGTAATTAAATCTCACTTCTTCTCAACTACCCAGAAGCCAAATATTTGATTTTTCGCTGTGGTTTGTTACTCTATCGAATTTAGTTGTTGATATTTCGTATTTTTTTATGGTCCATTTGTGTTCTATTGGGGTTGTATTTTGCTAGAATTTCATAAAATTTGATTTGGTGCATAACTGATTGGCTTAAAATTGTTGTGAGATTGAATATTTCTTGAATTTGATCATTAGATTTCCCTTTTTTATTTTGGAAATTGACGTGCTTTTCCCATTCATCGCCAAAACAAACCCGTGCTTCCTCCCTCTTCGTCTTCTCCTCTCACAATCTGCGCCCTTAGTTCTCAATTGGATTCACAGTAAACACCCAGAAATTTAGAGGTACGAAATTTCAATTTTTTTTTTTGTGTTTTTTATTTATTTTCAGTGTTAATTTCTGATTAAATTATTATTTTAGGATTACTTTTGAGAAGCATTGTTGGAAACGATCATTGTCAACTATCTGATTGCAATGGACAAAGATTGGCTAACATTTTCGAGGTGTATTATCTGCCTCAATGAATTTCATTTTTGACATTGATAACTAGGGTCTGTTTAAAGTGATTAAGATTTATTTATAATACAGACCATCAACAGAATACAGAGAGGGGTGCACAAAAGTTTGTACAAGTAGCTAAAGAATATGGAGGAAATCGAGATAAGATCATTTGCCCGTGTATAATATGTCAAAACCAATGTTTTCAACTACCTGCGATTGTGTATGAACACTTGGTTATAAATGGAATAGATCCTTCATATACTACTTGGGTGTTCCATGGTGAACAAGAACCTATTCTTCAACAACATGACTATGCCAACGTGACAGAAACATATCAGATGTATAGGGATGTCTTGGCTGAAGATGATGGAACTGGAAAAGCAAACTTGCTAATTGGAGATGAGAATTTCAAACAAAAGGTTGAAGAAGCTGAAGCTCCTTTATATGAAGGTTGTACGAAATACACAAAGTTGTCAGCAACTGTAGTTTTATACAAGATTAAAGCTTCAAATGGTGCAACCGACAAGCTTTTTGACGAGCTCCTCCAAGCCTTAAAGGACATGTTTCCGGAAGGTAATACACTTCCGAATTCAATGAATTCGACAAAGAAGTTACTTAAGGTGTTTGATTTAGGGTTCGAGAAAATAGATGCATGTGTAAATGATTGCTGCTTATTTTGGAAAGACTTTGAACAACTTGAGACGTGTCCAAAGTGTGGTTCTTCACGTTGGCAGGTTGGTAAACGTAATAATCACATTTACAAAGGAGTTTCTGCAAAGGTGTTGCGCTACTTTCCTATTATACCAAGATTTAAGCGAATGTTTAAGGATGATGACATGGCCAAAGACTTAACATGGCATCATACCAACAAAAGTCAGGATGGTAAGATGCGACATCCAGTTGATTCGCCAGCATGGGAGTCTATTGACACTAGATATCCTGATTTTTGCCTCAGATCCACGAAACTTGAGACTTGGTTTAGCTACAGATGGATTTAACCCATTCCGCCAGCTAAGCTCTAGATATAGTTGTTGGCCAGTTATATTAGTTACATACAATCTTCCTCCATGGTTAGCCATGTCGAAAGAGAATTTGATGTTGACGTTAATAATTCCTGGGAAGAAACAACCCGGAAATGATATTGATGTTTACTTGCAACCACTCATAGAAGATTTATGTGTGTTATGGAATGAAGGAGTGGGTGTATTTGATGCAACTACAAATTCTACTTTCAATTTGAGGGCTATTTTGATGTGGACAATCAGTGATTATCCCGCTTATGGTAACTTGGCTGGATGTTTTACAAAGGGCAGGTTTGCTTGTGTGGCATGTGGTGCTAACACGCGATCTTTGAGGTTGCCGTTTAGTAAGAAGCATGTATATACCGGCAATAGAAGATTTCTTCCACCTTCTCATGAGTTTCGCAAGAAGGGTAAATGGTTTGATGGGAATGATGATATTGGGCAAAAACCAAGGGTATTGACAGGTGAAGAAGTTTTATATGCTTCCGAAGCAGCTGGAAGGGATTGGGGAAAAAAGTCAACTACACAAAAAGGCACAAAAAGGAAGATGAGTGTGTAAAGAAAGGTGTACAGACAACAGGAAGTGATCCTATTAACATATGGAAAAAAGAAATCAATTTTCTTTGATTTGCCGTATTGGAAGGTTTGACAATTACACTTAACATTTAACTATAAAGAAAAGTACGATTTTTTTCACAACTAATTTGCTTATTTTTGCTTGTTTTGCAGAAATTATGTTTGAGGCATAATTTGGACATCATGCGCATAGAGAAAAATGTTTGTGAAAGTATTGTTGGCACATTGCTACATATTAAAGGTAAATCAAAGGATGGACTTAATTGTCGTAAAGATTTAAAGGAATTGGGTATTCGGCATGATTTATGCATAACTGAAGAGAAAGGAAAAAAGACGAAACTACCTCCAGCACTTCACAACTTCTCTAAAGCAGAGAAACATATTTTCTGTAAGAGGTTGTTCGATATGAAGGTACCAGATTCTTATATAAATTGTAGCATATATGTGTTTTAAAAAATTAATAATTTAAAAGATAAAATTTCTTACTACTTACATAAAAACACGTACTGTATAATCCGTGTTCCCGTCACAACTCAAAATTTCTCCTTGGTATGGGTATATTATTTAATTTGTCTTCTTGTAATTTATATTTAGGCCGAAATCAAGACTCCATGCAAGACCAATGTGGGACAGCCCTCTCCGGTGACTCCAAGGCCATCAGAGCAGCTTGGCGGAACTGAGGGCTTGCCGAGCTTCCGTTCTCCCAAAAAGGTAATTTTTTATTTATTTATCGATTAAATTTATTTTAATTTATGTAATTATTGTTTTTGCAAATTGGGTATTTTGTGATATTTATTCTTATATATTTAGGCCGAAACCTATGTGGGACAGCACTCTCCGGTGACTCCAAGGCCATCAGAGCAGCTTGCCGGAACTGAGGGCTTGCCGAGCTTCCGTTCTCCCAAAAAGGTAATTTATTTATTTATTTATCGATTAAGTTTATTTTAATTTATGTAATTATTGTTTCTGCAAATTGGGTATTTTGTGATATTTATTCTTATATATTTAGGCCGAAACCTATGTGGGACAGCACTCTCCGATGACTCCAAGGCCATCAAAGCCGCTCGCCGGAACTGAGGGCTTGTCGAGCTTCCGTTATCCCAAAAAGGTAATTTTTTATTTATTTATCGATTAAATTTATTTTAATTTATGTAATTATTGTTTCTGCAAATGGGGTATTTTGTGATATTTATTCTTATATATTTAGGTCGAAATCAAGTCTCCGTACCCGACCTTGGTGGGACAGCCCTCTCCGGTGACTCCAAGGCCATGAGAGCAGCTTGCCGGAACTGAGGGCTTGCCGAGCTTCCGTTCTCCCAAAAAGGTAATTTATTTACTTATTTATCGATTAAGTTTATTTTAATTTATGTAATTATTGTTTCTGCAAATTGGGTATTTTGTGATATTTATTCTTATATATTTAGGCCGAAACCTATGTGGGACAGCACTCTCCGGTGACTCCAAGGCCGTCAGAGCAGCTCGCCGGAACTGAGGGCTTGCCGAGCTTCCGTTCTCCCAAAAAGGTAATTTTTTATTTATTTATCGATTAAATTTATTTTAATTTATGTAATTATTGTTTCTGCAAATGGGGTATTTTGTGATATTTATTCTTATATATTTAGGTCGAATTCAAGTCTCCGTACCCAACCTTTGTGGGACAGCCCTCTCCGGTTACTCCAAGGCCATCAGAGCAGCTTGCCGGAACTGAGGGCTTGCCGAGCTTCCGTTCTCCCAAAAAGGTAATTTTTTATTTATTTATCGATTAAATTTATTTTAATTTATGTAATTATTGTTTCTGCAAATGGGGTATTTTGTGATATTTATTCTTATATAATTAGGTCGAATTCAAGTCTCCGTACCCGACCTTTGTGGGGCAGCCCTCTCCGGTGACTCCAAGGCCATCAGAGCAGCTTGCCGGAACTGAGGGCTTGCCGAGCTTCCATTCTCCCAAACAAGGAAGAAAATATCGGAAATATCGGTAGTCCGAAAACACGGAAATATCGATGGAAATATCGGGATAATATCGATATCGATAAAAATTATATGGAAACCACGGAAATTGTAAGAAAAACTTGGAAATTTTTAATGAAACTTTGCAGGATGTTTATTTAGTCAATTATCTATTAGTTTATCACAAAAAATTGGAAGGAAATGCATTGCATGATGGATTTAACTGATTTAAGTTGATTATATAGCGAGCTGGCAAACATTGTGAGTGTAGAAAATATGTAGTAATTAATGAAAGAAGTTTAAACACACCATAATCATTTATATATAATTAATTAGTACAATATTGGGAGGTTTTATTTAGGATATTAAAAAAAAAGAAAAAAGGGAAGTGAATAAAATGATGAAGAATAATGTGCCGAATTTGACACTTTAAATTTCTTACACATAAGCATGCGTCTAGGTGTTGAAGTTCCAAATTATAGTATATCAATTAACGATTGAAAATCAATACGTTGAATAAGACTAAATTTTAATTTGGATGCCGATTATGTTTTTTCAAGTTTATATAAAGTAAAAGAATTGAATTTTGGAAGCCAGGAGTGTGTCAATTGTTTTATAATTCGTCTGAATACATATATCAGGTTGCTACTCAACGTAATTTGAAAGTATATCTAGTGCAAGGACTTGTCTTTTTTTGTTGATAAGCAAAGGGTTTGTAGCTTTTTTTGCTAAGCAGTAGAACATATTATGTTTGTTTAATCTTTAGCATTTGATGGTTGTCCACAAATATAGGATAGAAGGCCCCAAATTAGATCTGACTCTTACCTAGTTGGAGTCACAAGTTCACATGTATCAGCCCTTGAGGCAAAACGTTTTGGTTTTCCGGCCAAACCACGGCGAGTTGGCCGACGTGCAAGGTATCAATCTCTTTGCCTCGTCGAGTAGTACAACTTTCCTTTTTGTTTCACTCAATTTCGTTGAGTATTGAAAAAGTTATACTCATTTGAATCTTACCCAGTTTCCGGTGACCTCAGTGACTTTCGAGGCATTTTCCGGCCAAACCACGACGATTCAGACGTCGTGTGAGGTACCATTCTCTTCGTCTCTTCGAGGGCTACAACTTTCGTTTTTGTCTTGCTTGATTTTGTTGAGTTTTGACAAAGTTATGGCCGTTTAAAGTGGGTGTGGATTTTCGGCCGAAATTCCTATTTTCTTCCTTGGTCGAGTCCCACATCGCCCATGCGAGGACAGTGAGCAAGCAAGAAGGCCTATAAAACCCACATTCCCAAGCTGAGAAAAGCATGTCTTGGTTGGCTTTTGAGCTATGATCAAGTGTAGTATGTGTTGAGATTTCTCAACATTTTTAAGTATTTTTGAATATTATAGATAATTTTGAAAATATTGTGATATTATTGATAATATCGTGATATTTTAACAAAAATCATTTGGATAATTAAAAAAATATTGGATCTTAAAAAAAAACGATAATATCGGCGAAATATCGTTGATATTATTGATTTTTTCTTCCTTGCTCCCAAAAAGGTAATTTATTTATTTATTTATCGATTAAGTTTATTTTAATTTATGTAATTATTGTTTCTGCAAATTGGGTATTTTGTGATATTTATTCTTATATATTTAGCCCGAAACCCAAAAATATTGGATCTTAAAAAAAAACGATAATATCGACCGGAGAGTGCTGTCCCACATAGGTTTCGGCCTAAATATATAAGAATAAATATCACAAAATACCCAATTTGTAAAAACAATAATTACATAAATTAAAATAAATTTAATCGATAAATAAATAAAAAATTTCCTTTTTGGGAGAACGGAAGCTCGGCAAGCCCTCAGTTCCGCCAAGCTGCTCTGATGGCCTTGGAGTCACCGGAGAGGGCTGTCCCACATTGGTCTTGCACGGAGTCTTGATTTCGGCCTAAATATAAATTACAAGAAGACAAATTAAATAATATACCTATACCAAGGAGAAATTTTGAGTTGTGACGGGAACACGGATTATACAGTACGTGTTTTTACGTAAGTAGTAAGAAATTTTATCTTTTAAATTATTAATTTTTTAAAACACATATATGCTACAATTTATATAAGAATCTATCCTTACCCAAACACTACCAAACAAAATCGGATACGATTCGGAGGTGCCACTGGCGGCGGGCAATTCATACTGAAACGTAACCGGACCTTTTTTCTGAAACAAAGTAAAAAAGTCTATAAATTAGAAAAAAAAATCCTTGATGACAAGATTTCAACAAAGTAGAGTCGTAACCCTGTCGTAGGACGTTCGGTTGGCCATTGGGGGCGGAGGCGGAGGCGGAACTCTGCGAGGTGATCGAAGAGCCATTGCGTACGAGCGTTTGGAACCACTGGAATCTTTCTCATCCATTGTCAAATTTGACAAATTGTCTTTTGTGAAAATCTGATAGCGCGGATTACTTATATATAGTACCCTGGCGCTTTGCTTGTCTAGTTCTGTTACGAACCCAACGAATTCCCGCCAGTATATCTGGTTTACAACGACTTTAGAAATATCTGTTTGGGCATTCGGTTATACTCAAGTGTGACACTGGCATTCGGTTATAATCAAGTGTGACACGTCAGATTGGTATGAATGTGGCCGCTTGGGCTATTGCTCGCGGCGACGCCGTCATTTGCAGAGGCTTGATGAACACCCCAACGACGTCGTTCAACTTTTTTTTTTTTTCTTATTCACACCGATAGCCCGAAACTCAATGCTATTCTCATTTTGCCTCACCAAACTCAAAGACATCTCACTTAAACCCCAAAATGTGAATTTTGTTTAGTAATTGACACATGTGAAAGTTCAAGAAAACTTGTTTTATAAGCCATAAAACTTAAAATATAAAAAAATTCAAACAACCAGTTAGAGATACCTCACTGACCCACCCCTCCGCTCATCTGCACAAGTGCACCAATTTTGTAAAGTTCCAAGCTCGTATAGCCACTACACAGCCACGATCCATCTCTGCACTTCCCTTCAAAATTGTCAAATTACACCTTCCGTTACGGGTCCGAAGGAAGATTCGACAGACTCTGGTAGGTGGTGTGGATGAGAGTATGTGACTTTAGGTTGCAGTACTGAGGTTGTGAGGTGGTCTTGGTAGTTCAAGAAAACAAATGAGGTGTGAGGTGGTGGCATTTTAAAAATAAAAAAAAAAAAATTGAAAATCCGGGTCCTTAGCCACCATTCTTCTTAGGCTAAATTTTTTGTATTTTTATTTTTTAAAAACAATATTATCTACACTAAAGGTAGTTCAAATTTGTTTTTTGCGATAATTCAACTTAAAACCTCTCACTTACAAATAAAGAGGAATATCACTAGATCATAGTACTAAGTAGCCGAAACTTTATTGGTTCTAGTTTTGTATCGAAGTCCCTCGACTTTGAACACCTCAACATTTTACTAATACCGTACTTTCATGATAGGTTAAACAGCATATGTAACTACAAATCCTAAAATTATCTCACTCACATTTATGTTTACATTCAACTTCTACGTTATTATCTTGAGAGTTTTTATCACAAATGGTCTTTGAGATTGATCAAACTCATTATTTTGGTCCCTCGCTTTCAAAATCAATGAATGTCATCCCTGACATTCACTATCTCATATCAATTTGGTCCTTCCGTTAAGATTCCGTCAACTATCTTGTTAGTTTGTATGTATGACCCACAAATCCAATCAAATGGTGACACATGGATTACACAAAATAAAGGGTTTTATCGCAAATGGTCCCTGATATTGATCAAACTCCTCATTTTGGTCCTTGAGTTTCAAAAATCGATAAATTTGGTCCTTGACTTTCACTACCGCATATCAATTTATTCACTTCGTTAATGTGGTCCCACTAATCCAATTATATGGCTTAACATGGATTAACTATAAGAAATTATTATTTTAAGAGCGAACCAAAGGAAGAGTATTCCGCCCTAGCATTTTCTCGCATCCCCCAACCCCAATTGGAAAAAAAATTCAATCTAAATTTGATAAAATCAAATCCAAATTCAATTCAAATTTGATAGGATTATAACCAACTAGAGAGAATGAGGAGTGACTTTAGAAGGCCAAGTACTTTAGTGGTGTCATGGTGTCTTCCTTTTCATTTTGAGCATATACCCTGATGAAGAAGACGATGACTTTTTTTCCTTTTAGTTTTGGTTTTTAGTTTCTTATTTTACTTTTAGTTTTAAATCTTTAAATAAAATAGTGTCTTATAATTAATTGATGTGGGGCCATATGATTGGATTAGTGGGACAAAAAATATTGAGAAAACTTTAACGGAAGGATTAAATTGATGTGCAGTATTGAAAGTCAGGGACCAAATTTATCAATTTTTGAAACTCAAGGACCAAAATGAGGAGTTAGATCAATATCAGAGATCATTTGCGATCAAAACCTTTATTTTGCGTAATCTATGTGTCACCATTTGATTGGATTTGTGGGTCCCACATACAAACTAATAGAATAGTTGACGGAATCTTAATGGAATAACTAAATTGATGTGTGGTAGTGAATGTCAAGGACGACATTGATTGATTTTGAAAGTGAGGGACCAAAACGATGAGTTTGATCAATCTCAAGGATTATTTCTCCATGAACCTCAAATTGGAGAAATTTTTCTACGTTATGGGTACAGTTGTAAGATCCCACATCGCCCAGGGGTGTGAATCATGTAAGCCTTATAATTATATTCTCATCTCTACCCAGCACGAGGCATTTTGGGAGTTCACTGGCTTCGGGTTCCGTAGGAACTCCGAAGTTAAGCAAGTTCGCACGAGAGCAATCCCATGATAGGTGACCCACTGGGAAGTTCTCGTGTGAGTTCCCAGAAACAAAACCATGTGAGCGTGGTCGGGGCCCAAAGCGGACAATATCGTGCTACGGCGAAGTCGAGCCATGGATGTGGTGGGGCCCCGGGCCGGGATGTGACAATTTGGTATCAAAGCCACTCTGTCGTTCGATACGGATGTGCTGGCGAGGACGCCGGGTTCCCCTTAAGTGGGGTGGATTGTGAGATCTCA